AACAAGATTCACTTTCTGATTTAACAAAGAACTGAAGTCAAAAATCGAAGCATTTTTACTGTCCCAAAACGTGATGACAGACAAAAAAAAAACACATCATGCTAAAATCAATACATACCTCGCTCCGCTCAGTAGCTAAAGAAACTACTGGCAATGTTGAATTTTTTTTACGTATGTTGTCATAATTTGAATTTTGACAAAATACGTAAAAATCACAAAAATTCGCAAATTATTTTAAGCTAGAAATTCATAAAAAAATTTCTTTTTAAATCTAAGATTTGAAAATTTTTAATAATTTATAATATATCCTAGACAGATAAACCGTCTCTGCTCAGAATCGTTTTTCGTATACAATGATACAATGTCATTAAATTAAAATTTAATTCCATCCATTACAGTAACCCACTTGTAATCTATTGTACAGCACAGCAATATCCACTTTCCCGCTTTTTATAGTTATTATTTATAATAATTTTAGTAACATTTTTACTATAACATATATTAATGTAAAATTAATGATATAAATGTAGCAAAAATTATTGAAAAAAATAAACTAGTATTGTTTTTAGAAATATTTTTTTTCATATTACTTGATGGATTTTTTATATCTAGCTGACGATATTATGCTGTTGATTGCGTGGTAATATCATAGAGTAATATTACTCTATGGGTAATATACTCTGAACAAACTCTCTCGGTTAATCATTTCCTTTGAACCTTTGAGTTTACATAATTTAATAAAGAAAAGAGAGTCAGCAAAGTTTGAAAATATCATTGTTGATAAGCAAATATTAATAAATCAATATAAATCATTTGGTCAGAATGAAAGATAAAAAATATATTCCATACTTCTAATGCCGAATTTTCAATACCATATTCTTTTTCTTCGTTATGTTCGGTTCCATTTAAATCTTTCGATACGTCCTGCATATTCAATGTCGTTTATTTTTTTAAGAATGTTAACCTAAAAATCTAAGAGTGTATATGGACACAAGTCTTTTCCAGTGCCATTGAAAATTTCTATAACACCAGCCTTGGCACGTGAGCCACTTAAATTCATTTCTGGATTGTTGAAAAAATTTCAATTTTATAATATACCTGAAAGTCATATTGAAACAATAAACTAACCWATCCACAACGCATATAATTAATTAAATTCAACGAACAGAGTATTCAATGTTGAAATATTAATATTTATAAAACCATCGTGCTTAAAATACATTAATAATTACAAATAATACCTATAGTATAAGAACGATTTACTAATAAATTATAGGTTTTGAATGGTGATAGTGTAATTGACGATCCGGATATAAATTATTTTCTGAAGTCGTTGTCAGATTATTGTCATCGTGGATCATCGAGACTGGACTTTTTCAACAGTTGTTTGGCTTCGAGTTGTGTCAAATACCAATTGTGCTTAGCCCTGCGACATTTGACTCAGGTATTTTTCTTCTGCTCCAGTCGTTTTTTTTTCTTGGCGTATTCTATTCGGAAATATTTCAGTGCGATGTAGGCATATGGTCCGATCTAATGGGAGAAGAATGTAATGGTGAATTATATTTTAGTTCTTCTGATATACGACCTACCAAGACTGCTTTAGATGGGTATCAGCGAATTCGAACTGTTGGGAAAGGTAAGTCAAAAAATATATGACCATGTCATAATACTTATAATATAGACGTAAACATATTGTAAACTAATATAATATTAATTCGAGTTCCAATTATAGTAATTATATTTTATATATAAATTCCCAGGAGCGTTTGGAGTGGCCACTTTGTACCGAAACACAAATAAAAATAATTTAGTTGTAATCAAACAGATAAACATGCTAGATATGACTGCACAAGAGAGACAGCTAGCTTTGAACGAAGCTAAAGTCTTATCGTTACTCAGCCATCCACATATAATAAGGTTATAATATAWTTTGAAAATCATGAAAATCGTTTTAAATCTAAAAATTTTATTTTATTTTTTTCGATTTCAACCATAGTTATTATGGGAGTTTTGAAATGGACGGTGTTCTCATGATTGAAATGGAATATGCAGATGGTGGTACTCTAGCAGAGTATTTGATCGGTCGTAATACCAATTTATTACCCGAAAGACAAATTTTAGAAATGTTCTTACAAATGTCTGAAGCAATTCAATGCATTCATCAACGTAATATTTTACACAGGTAATAATTTGAGCCGTATTAGTATGAATATTTTTAAAAACAAAGATTGCGTGCTATTGCGAGACATATCTTGGAATATATGATCATTCAAATTAATTTTATGTGTATTTTATGRCTATTTAATAAATTTAAAAAATAAAGCAATTATTTATATTTATATAAGTATGGAAAATGTTGATTTTTTTAGAGACTTAAAGACAACAAATGTTTTTCTAACAAAAAAACGTCAAATAAAGTTAGGAGATTTCGGTATTTCAAAAATAATGACCACGAAGTTACAAGCGTTAACAGTTGTTGGAACACCATACTACATAAGTCCAGAAATGGTAAGTAGGTACCAATACAGTTTTAAATAAATGTCCATTTTAAATATATTACATTTTATCAATTTATATAGTGTGAGGGTAAACAATATGATCAGAAATCCGATATTTGGGCATTGGGTTGTATATTGTACGAGATGGCGAGTCTTCAGCGTACTTTTGATGCTTCCAATTTACCGGCACTAATTCATTTTATAACAAAAGTACCTCTACTAATTATAAAATAATTTTCTCATACAATAATATATTTTTTAAATTTTTTAGGAACATTTTGCTCCAATACCATTGTGTTATTCATTAAATTTAAAAAAATTGGTGAACGATTTACTGCAAAAAGATCCACTCCGAAGACCCAGTGCCAATTATTTAGTCGAAACAGTGCCTGATTTTATTGATTTTATAACCGATTCTAATTGGGTTCATGAAAACAGTGAATTCGAATCAAATAGYGAAGATTTACTAARCAGGTTATTATTCATATATTACAGAGACATTGTTTATTGCTATATAATATATAATAAATACATTATATAATATATTGTACAGTAAAATCTCTTTATAACGGAATCAACAGTACCAACTGATTATTTGGTTATAAAAGAATTTCCCTTAYATAGAGAGACTAAAATATACGAGATATAAGTATGTGAAAATGTAGTTTTTTACGTTGTACGGAGATATCTGTCTTATAGTGGGTTTGTTACAAAGAGCATTTACTGTATACCCACTTGTATATTACATGGGAGTTTTTAATAAATAAAATATTTTATTATAAAGCAGATCGGTGGTATATCAATTTTCATCTCCAACAAGTTTGACACCGATTCAACTACCGTTTAGGGTCCAAATTGTACAACTTGCAGTGAGTCAGACACATTTCGTCGCCCTTACGAGTGGTAAACCATAACACAGTATATTTTATAACCGCATAATAATCTTTTTTTTTTATATATATAATTTAATACTTATAATATTATATGATATACTCTTAAGCAATATTATAATGTGATAAGTACAAAATATTTTCTGTTCACAGATTACTCAATTTTCACTTGGGGTGAAGACAAACATG